CCGAGGCTGCAAATCTCTACAGGAGCAGAAAGCCTCATCTTTCTCCTGCAGAACTGCTGGTAGTTTCGAACTGCTGACCATGAGATTAGCAGCCCAACTTGTAACCACTACACTACCAAAATTACTGGTTAACAATTAATAAAGCCAAGCTTAACAACAAAAAAGCAAACTTTGAACATAGTAATCTGGGAGTCAGGAGAACTGGTTTGTTTTTCTCTGTCACTAAGTATTTCTGGACAAATTAGGAAAAAGCAGCAATTAAAACCTATTTCACAAAGATAAATATCTTTATGAGATGGTTCAAAGTCTTATTTTGGTCAGTTCAGATGCCTCAACACTTGTAAATAAATAAACAAATGAGTGTAATACTATAGCAAATACAAAAAGAACCATCAACACACTTTGTTAATATTGTGAAAAACCAGAATCCACGATTGTGAACAAAAGAAAATGAAAAGGTGAGCAATTTTCCAAAGAGATGTTTACATTCCAAGTAACTTCCTTCTGTTTTTCTGTCCATTCTGTATAATCTTTGTATGTCATGTGGAAATGATAATAAAATAGTTCACCTGGCGTAGGACTTGATCCAAATATAGATAAGCAGTCTAAAAGAACGGTCAAATTAATTCGAAATGTAAGAGACTCTTCCCGAACCACAAATTCTTGGAATATTCCAGCCTGTGGAAAAAAAGTAAACATTGAAATGCAATTGTGTCAGAGAAAGAAAACTCACGGATACGGTCCTAGATTTCACTTTCAATGTTATAACAATAATGGTACTATACTCCAGGATTCATTTCTGAATATCAATCAACACAGCTTTGTATTTTCATTAGCATACTAACTGATGAAGATCAAAGGCCATAGCCTTCAGTTTGTGCTGCACCTCAATGTAAAGAAAACAAAAGTCTTCAGAACTGGACAATTAATAATATCAAGATAAATGGGGGAAAATTTCAAGTTGTCAAAGACTTTATTTCGCTTACACCAACCATCAATACTCATGGAAGCAGCAGTCAAGAAATCAAACGACATATTACATTAGGCAAATCTGCTACACAAGACATCTTTAAAGGGTTAAAGAGAAAAGATGTCACTTTCAGAACTAAGGTGCACTTGACCCAAGCCATGGTATTTCAATAACTTCATATGCATGTGAAAGTAGGAAAATGAATAAGGAAGACCATAAAAGAATTGATGTATTTGAATTACGGTGTGGGAGGAGAATATCAAAATACCATCGACCACCAAAAGAATCTACCACTTGTCTGTCAGTTTGTTGTACTGTGGTGGCTAGAGAGTTGCTGCGATTCTGGAAGCTATGCCACTGGTATTTTAAATACCAGCAGGGCCACCCATGGTGGACAGGTTTCAGATGAGTTTCCAGATGAAGGCAGAATAGGAAGAAAGAGTGACGAACTACTTCCAAATATTCAGTCACTGAAAACCTTATGAATAGCAGAGAAAAACTGTCAGATACAGTGCCGGAAAATAAACCCCTCAGTTTGGAAGGCACTCAAAAGACGACTGGGGAAGAGCTGACTCCTCAAAGTAGAGTTGACCATGATGAAGCGAATGGAGTAAAGCCCATGGGAGAAAAGCCTGTGGGACATTTATTTGCTGATGGGGCACAACTCAAAATGAAGAGAAACAGCTATAAACATCCATTGAAAATGGGAACATGTAATGTATGAAGTATGAGTCTGGGGAAATTGGAAGTTGTCAAAAATGAAATGGAACGCATAAACTTCAACATCTTTGGCATTAGTGAGCTGAAATGGACTGGTATTGGCCATTTTTAATCTGACAACCACATGGTTTACTAGCTGGGAATGACAAATTAAAGAGGAATGATGTTGCATTCAATGTCAAAATGAACACATACAGATCAGTCATGAGGTACAAAGCTGTCTGTGATAATATCCATGTGCCTACATGGAAGACCAGTTAATACCACTATTATTCAAATTTACGCAACAACCACTAAAGCCAGTGAGGAT